AAAAAAAAAAAAAAAAAAAAAAAAAAAAAAAAAATTACCAACTAAAGTTAGAGTGATCTTACAGTTTGAAAGGGCTTCAAAATTACTAGTATTCCCATTTTGAAAAGTTAGAAAAATTACCAAATATCCAAAATAGTAAAAAATGTAGACGCATTAAAAATACACACTTAAAGACCTAGACTACAACAGAAAGTGAACCCTATAATAGAGTTTTCATTTTTCCTTAAAGCAGATATGAAACTTTTACCTGAGCACAACAAATGAAAGCAATTGAAAGTGTCAGCAGGAAGACTGAAGATACAACCACATCAACTGAGCGCTGTGGCCCCCGTCTCTGTGGAGTGAGACACGTGTTAATGTTTTAGATTACTGGCAGACAGCAATGGCCCTCACATCATTAACACTGAATTATACTATATTCGTGTAGAAATAACATTTATAAGAAGTTTCTAAGATAGGATTTTAACATATTTTGGACGTCATCAACTTTAGGTACTGAAATCCATGCATTTCCAAAGTAAGGGAGACTGATTCATTGACATACTTTCAGTTGGAGTATTTCCCAAAAAGTCAGAACAATGTGTACCATTTAATTATCACTTTGCCCCTAGGAAATTTAGATTTTCTTTTACCTTTCTAAGCTCTTCTTTACCTACCCCTCCCAGCTTTGCAGAAAGATGACATCCAACTTACTGTGCAGCAAATCTGTCAGCTGCTGATATAATCTGCCTGATACCCAGAACTACACTATCTACTAAGTAACTGCTGCCAGGAGCTTTAGTGAGCATATTCTTGCATATACTCTATTGTTAATCAAATTAAACTCACCTTTAGATAGGAACGCAGTGATAACCATATTTTAATATTCTCCACCTTCTTAAGTCTGAAATGAGGTATTTCATATTTCCGAGCTTTCCTGGCAGAAGTAATATGGCTGAAGAGTTTTGCAAATAAAAATCTCTAGAAGAGGTTTAAAAAAATAATCACAGTGAAATGTATGTATGTGTCTGTGTATTCATATAATTGACAACAATATTCCCAGAATATAAAAATGTTAAAAAGAATGAAGTTCTAATCAGTGATCACTAAGATGGACAGTGAAAATTTTCATTAACAGCTCATTACCCTCTTGTTTTCAAAGCACATTACATAGAAATAGACTTCTTCACAATATGGTACACTCAAAATTTGCGAGCAATATTCTTTGGAAACCCCCAAAGAATGGCTGGAGTTTGTGGATCCACTACTTCACAAACTCAAATGTTTATACATGATTCTGGCTTATTCTCAAATTTCCATTCAAAAATCACATTTCTAGGGCTCGACACAGTGGCTCACGCCCTGTAATCCCAGCACTTTGGGAGGCAAAGATGGAAGATCGCCTGAGCCTTGGAGTTCGAGACCAGCCTGGACAACAAAGACCTCACCTCTATGAAAACAAAAAAAATTAGCCGGGTGTGGTGGCCCAGGCCTGTAGTCCCAGCTACTGGGGAGGCTGAGCTAGGAGGACTGCTTGGTCCTCAGGAGAGGTCAAAGCTGGAGTGAGCCGTGATCACACCACTGCACTCCAACCCGGACAACAGAGCAAAACCCTGTCTCAAAAAAAAAAAAAAGTCACACTTCTGCATATCACCAGTATTCTAAGCCCTCCACTTACAATTCTTATCAAATTTCAATAAATTTATTTCTTACTGGCCATTTTTCACAAAAACATTATCACATGTAGAGAATTATTTTATTCTACGGATAAAAAATTAAAAAGGCACACTGAAGTACAGATGCTAAGCAGTCAGCTAGGTTCATTCACTGGCTAAGCCACTTATTCTACACATGAGGCCCAGCAGAATTTCAGATTATAATGTGTAATTTGTAAATAGTAACACAAACAATAAATCCACAAATATCAAAAATTCACTTATCAATCCTTTATTGCCTACATCAACTTGAAGAGAGACCAAGAGACCAAAAACAACTCAACGGAATATCATATACAAAAACAGAGGTAAAAAATTTTACTTATTTCTCCACTGACCTGTTTATATGTTCTCTCTGCCACACACATCATGAAAAAAAACATCCAAGTAAGACACAATCTTTCAAAAAAATTAATTATGGACAAAACAATAATAGGTATAACAGGTGGTGCCCCACAAAAGAGAGTCAAGATCTCCTCAGCTGAAATGGACTTCAGTTGGTCAAGGTTCTTCTCACGGAAAAGTCGATGTAAGAATGGAAAAAATGCTAATCCAATAGTGACAACATTTCCCAGCATCTGATAACCTACTCCTTGCTGATATGCATTGACCTGTGAATTAAAATTTCCATCATTATTGTGTAGCTAAATGGAGTTACAAAGCAATATTTATCAGGCCAGGTGCGGTTGCTCATGCCTGTAATCCCAGCACTTTGGGAGGTCGAGGTGGGCAAATCACGAAGTCAGGAGTTCGAGACCAGCCTGGCCAATATGGTGAAACTCCATCTCTACTAAAATTACAAAAATTAGCTGGACATGGTGGTGCACGCCTGTAGTTCTAGCTATTCGGGAGGCTGAGGCAGGAGAATCACTTGAACCGGAGAGGCAGAGGTTGCAATGAGCTGATATTGCACCATTGCATACTCCAGCCTGGTGACAGTACAAGACTCCGTCTCAAAAAACAACAAAAAAAGCAGTATTTATCAAATACTATTTAGACTATTAAAAACACATTCTAAAAGCATAAATACAAATAACATACAGATTTATGACTTTTAAATCTTATTAAAAATTTTGATTCAATGAGATAAGGAGTATCTGTAAAGAATACCTGAACAGTTGATTACACTAATTAATAGTGACCAGATATAACAAATAATACATATGCTACCATGTAAAGACTCTGACTACAAAATTAGATATATGTTAATAATATATACTATATATATGATATGATATACATATGCTTCAAAAGCAGAGTCATACTGTTTTAATCACTAAGAGATTCTTATGAAATAGCTCCTGATCATGTTTTGAAAAATCTGAAAACAAATTTAATCTTACCCTGCTCATGATGATGCCACTTATTTCCAATACAGACATATCCATTTTTTTGCACTCATTGCCTTCCCAGATTATTGCACTAACTCGATCAGAGGCAGGACTTGAATTCTGAAGCCAGAATAAATGGTTCTGAGAAGAAAAATATAAAACTGTTTCTATCCAAGCTTTCTTTCCTCCATTAGTTTTTCTTTCCCTTTATCTTAACAGTTTGAAAGGACTTCAAAATTACTTGTATTCCCATTTTGAAAAGTTAGAAAAATTATCAAATATCCAAAATGTAAAAAAATGTAGATTCCCAGGCTCCATATGCCACCACTCCAATAACCGCTTCTATGATGCTGGTCCTTTTTTCTTTTTTGAGACAGGCTCTCACTATGTTGCCCAGGCTGGTCCCAAACTCCTGGGCTCAAGCAATCCTTCCATCTCAGCCTCCTGTGTAGCAAGGACCATAGTCACATACCACCATGGCCAACTAGGTCCTTTTTTCTTTACTTAGCCATTCTCTTACCTGGAGAGAGAATAAATGTCTTCTGTTATGAGGAGAGATAGGAGTCCACGAACTCCAAGGTTGCTTCCCTCTCTAAAAGTATGGAAGTGAGGATAAGCTTAGTGTAGTCATGGGCTATTAAGGAAGAAAGCAGTTCTTTTTTTTTTTAATATATATTTTTTTAAAGATGGGGTTTCACCATATTGGTCAGGCTGGTCTCGAACTCCTGACCTCAGGTGATCCGCCCACCTCAGCCTCCCAAAGTGCTGGGATTACAGGGGTGAGCCATCACGCCCGGCTGGAAGAAAGTATTTCTAGAGCTAGGGGACTACACTGGGAGTAACAGGAAGTAAAGAAAGAGAGATACTAAAAGGCCTTATTTATCACAAGAATGACTGAGGACTATTAAGTCTGTTTCTGGTCTAACCAGGACACAGAAATTTAGCAAGGCTTAGAAAAGCTCAAGTGGGGACAGTCACAATGAAAAACAGCTCCCTCTCCTCCTCTGCCATATCATGACTTATTCTGTAAGTACTAGCTCAAGTCCCATTTCACCATCATGGTCCTCTCTGACAGCCTTACTAACTTTGCCCTTATCTGAAAAGAAAAACTTTTATGGTCTGCATCAGACAAATTAGCATCTTATTATATGGTGCTTTTATGGCATCCTCTACTTATTTCCTATATAATTATCTTGTTCCCAAACTAAAATATAACCTCTAGAAAAGGACCATCTGGCATATTTTTTCTCTTTCTACCACAATGCTTAGCATAATGCCGACAAGCATTTACTGATTTGAATCACTGATGTGCTTCATTGATTCACTGACTTATGCAACTCACATTTATTAAGCACCTACTATGTAGCATGCCTGTGGATAAAATGGAGAACAAGATAGATGTCCTTGCTATCAAGGAGCTCACAAACTTCTGAAGGACGTCACTATACAGCATGATAAGGAAAGGCAAGAGTGCTTTAGGAGTATATAGGAAATGCTTTCTAAAGGAAGCATCACTCAAGCCAAGACCTGCCTGAAAATAAAAATGAATAAACCAAAAGAATGGGCATTAGAGAAAATCATGTCCCAGGAAAGAAACCTGTATGCACAAGGACCCAGAAGCGTATGAGGCCTGGTACATATCAGAAAAGAAGGAAGGGGCCGGGCGCGGTGGCTCAAGCCTGTAATCCCAGCACTTTGGGAGGCCGAGGCGGGTGGATCACGAGGTCAAGAGATCGAGACCATCCTGGTCAACATGGTGAAACCCCGTCTCTACTAAA